TAACAAATGGTTGAAAGGTATGTAAATTTACAAGTCTTTTTGAGAAAACTACATCTGAAAAATCTCCCACATAGGTGATAAAGCTTTTTCATTTTGGAAAAGCTCCTAATTTGGATGTTCTAAGAGATACAGTAGTTTATAATACAAAGTAAAACAAAAAAAAAAGCAATATTTGGTGTGGATTAAGAATAAAAAGAAATTGAAGGGAACCAATTTGTATCATTTTTTATGAGAAAAGTATGTGGATTAAGCGACGTATATATAATGAAAATGTGAAAAAATAATATAAAAATATTCGGAAGCTTTTCTCTAATATCAGAGCCAGGTTTCGATCCTGGGACCTGTGGGTTATGGGCCCACCACGCTTCCGCTGCGCCACTCTGATTTATGTTTCAATTCTATAAAACAAGTATATAATCTGTATTTTGGCAACTCCATCGTTGATACTTTAATTTTGTTCTATTTTATATGTTCTTTTGTTTGATAATGTGTTTGTGGGATGTACCCCGATATAAAACCATAATAAAATTAAACAAGTACAAAGCAATCAAAATCAAAAACTTAGGCAAAAAAAAAATATCTATAGCAGTTGAAATCTAAAAAGCCCTAGTCAACAAAGAAGAAAGAAAAATCATATAAGTTGAGGATGAATGATTAATGGTTAAGAGATAGCAATGTAGTTTCCAATTTTTTTTTTATTTACAAAATTGTACTTTTATTTATTCTTGTTACAACTTTACACTGTCATTTATCTTATTACAACATTGTGCTTCTAGATTATTTGTTATTACGGCATTGTACTTTGTAAAATTTAGATGGTAGCGGATTATCCATTGCTAGATTTTGATACATTTATTTAAAGTGGAATGCTCTAACAAGAAATAATTATGGAAGTATAATGTGGCAATAAGAAAAAATGAAAGTATAATGTATAATATTTTTTTTTTGAGGTGTACATTGCTATTTCTTGCATTTGGCCCAAAGATTCGAGCATACCCCTTTACAACAAGTCTAAGTCAAGCTTGTTGCTTGTTGATGGCATAATAGCTAAAGTTTTTATGCATAGAAACAAGAGTTAAATCCAAGAAAGATCAATATACTTTCATTGATTTGTTTATTACATCATTCTACTTTTAAATTTTCCTATTACGCCATTGTACCTTTTCAAAGTGTAATGTTCTAACAAGAGAGAATTGATGGTACAATGATATAACTCGACAAAACGTGTTTGTTTCCACCTTTTTATTTGTTAGAAATATATGATATATATCTAGTTTGCTAGGTATGACAATTGACAAGACATGACAAAATAACTTCTTGTGTTTGTGTTTGTGTTTATGTTTAGTGTGCACTATTATAGTGTAAAATTCCATTTTGAAAAAAGAAAAAGAAAAAAAAAAGAAGCAACTGCTCTCTTATTCTGGTTCAACTTTGAGAACGATCTTCATGAGTTCATAAACAAAGTAACTTATAGCAGCCGATGGGAGCACCTGAGAAAAAAATAAATTAATGTCATAAATGGGTAACGATTTTTTTTTTCTTATTGTATTCGGGTAATCCATGACTTAACAATATATTTTCATTCAAGTTTTTATTAAAGCATGCTACTTTCATTTGTTCCAGACAACATCATTTTGCTTTAAAAAATTACCAAATTATAGCAACTTTCACTGAGGTAGATTTTTCAAAGTAGATGTCTTAATAAGAAAAAACTAAAAGTACAATGCTATAATTAATAGAAAGAAATGTAAACATTTACATGAAGAAAATGTGACATAATGAATCCCATCATGCTAAACTAAATTTTGCTTCATATCCTCTTAAAAAAAAGTATATATGATAAAAACAATGAATTAGATAAAGAATCATGTACATTTTCTAACAATTATACTAATATGCCTAAGGGAAAACTCCATAAAAGTCCTTATATTTTGACCTTATAATCGATTTAGTCCTTATATTTTTTTTATTCAATTAAGTCCCAATAACCACTGTATTCATTTTGACCTTTTATCCGGTCATCAGATCATCTCACTTTCAAAATTTACACTTTTGGCCCGGCATTCAAAATTTTGTTACGAATTCATCCTAAATTTACCTTTTTACATTTTTTTCGAAAAATTTTGTTTCGAATATGTTTTTTTTGCTTAATAAAAATCATATTTACAAAAAAAAAACATATTTTCACATAAACAACCTTCTTTTTTCTTTATAATTAAAAAAAAACATTTAAGCACTTAATTAATCTCACCAGTTATATACGACTGTTTCTTTTTTACTTGATCTAGACATAATGACTTAATGGGTTAAGCCAAAAAACATGGATTAATAGATTAAAACACTAACCCTTTACGTATTTGCTCTTCTTTTTTTTTTCTTTAACTCCTCTCACTTTAAAACCGATGAATATTGTGAAATTTGCTTTTTGGAATGTAAGGGTAAGTTTGGTCATTTAGTCACATAAACTTCCCGTTTTTAAGTGAAAAAGAAAGAAACAAATACCTGCAATAAACTTGGAGTCAATCCTGCATATAAGGCAGGAACACCACCTTGTTCAACAATCTTCCCAAAAGTAGCCAAAGCAGTCATTTTTGTAGCCCTAACTTGCAACTGAAGTTGTCTTCTCACAACTTCAAATGGATAAGTAGCAGCTTCAGCACAACATCCCGCAACCGCACCGTATATCAGTGTTCTCATTGTACCCAATTCCATCTGCTCCAAAGCATTTAATGCTTCCCCTCCTTCTTTCATGTTTTCAAGTCTTTTTCTTCCTTTTGGTGAATGTAAATATGTTGATTTTAATATGTCATAAATTCCATAAAACACAGCTCCTGAAGGTGCCATGCTTATGATGGAAGGAAGTAAGCCTTTGTATAAAGAGAAGAATCCTTCCGTTTGGATCATGTGCTGAAAAGCACCGATTACACCTCCCATTGCTTCTCCTCCCGGTGCCACCATTTTTGTTCTGATCTGTGATGGTGAGGGTATTTTCGTCATTTAATAAAAAAAATTAAAGAATGAAGTCC